AACACTTCCAAATTGTTATGCCCAAGTTTAGGAGAACAGTTCCACATGTTCAAAGCTTAAACAAAAAAGAGAATTGTGGCATCTCAAAGATTAACAAGTTTTATTCAGCCCATTAAATCAGATGCATGCCATGCAGGCCTTACTTGGGAAATATGTAACTTCATGCATCTGGAGGAGGAGGCTGCAGTCCATAAAGCTGTAGGTCAGATAAAACTTGAGTTGCCACGAGACTCTGTGCTGCTTTTGCTGCAGTAGAATAAAATGGCTACCCCACCTCCAAAGTATGAAAGCACATTATTCAGACTTTAGGCCCAAGAGAGAGAGAGCAAACTTGCACATATCAGAAAGGACTGCCTTCTACTCATGAGTGTGACGGATATGTGTTAGTCCAAAGCTTATTTGAGCTGTATATGGATTTAATCTCTGTATTCAAGCCGGCAGCATGTCCAGAAAGGAACATGTAAGCAACTCAACTCAGCTTCAGTACGCAGTGTTGGAAGGAGGCAGCTGGAAATGGAAACCTGCTGGGTGAAACTGCAGTGCCCAAGAAAATCACTCAAGACACTGGACCACTTTTGTAGGAGTCCATAACCACCATGAAATTTGTGCCTCTGAAGGGGACGGTGCTTACAGGCTTCTTTAGAGGAGGAGAGCCCTGAAGGCCATATCAGGAAAAACAACAGTGTGATAGTAAAGATGGTACTTCTCACCTGTATGGAAGGAAAATACATGAAAAACAGTATACATTTGGAGGTACTTCATTTGGTCTAAGGGAAAATGTGGGGAGGGGAGAAGCTAAAGAGAGAAACTTGACAAACAGACCAGACCTATTGGCTAAAAACTGCAAACAAAACATAAAATGGACAAATTTTAGTTTGGAGATGACTGACGTCTTCCTCCCTCCTTCAGCCTGCATACTAGAACCGTGGACTCTATTGTCAGGTCATTGAAAAAGCAATAAAAGCTGCTACTACTGCTGCTGCTTCTCCTTCTTCTTCCAAGAATGGTGGTGGGGCCAGGACAGAATGTTTCTGAAGACCAAGGCCAGAGGAGCATCCTTTAAGTAACAGTCTAGCTGGGCTCCACTACGGGACTCCTCTCAGTGCCTTGCCTGCTCTGGGAACAAGTTACAGTATTGGGAACCAAGTGGCTCCTCAGACTGTCAAGATTACTCAGCTTGAGATGAGCCCTAAATCTTGACTGCAAATGATCAGAAAAAAGGAGAGTACTAACAGAAGAGTGAGCCTCGCCAGCAGGCCTTTCTCTGGTTAATTTGGAGCAAACTATCTCTTCTGTTATCTGGATTTACAGGCTTGAAAGAAAATTATGTAGGATGTAGATCCACCACACTTTATTTGGAAATGAAAATACAGATGGTTTAGGGAAGGGAACACTTTGCACTGAAGGGTTAAAAAATATATCAGTACCAACATCCTCTAGAACAGTGATGGTGAACCATTTTGAAACCGACTTATTTATTTCAAAGTACCAACACTGAAATTAAATCTGAATACTGAGTTTTTAGTTTAGAAAAAAAAACCTGCCCCTGCACTGCAATGTTTAAATGCTTGGTTTTTTTTCCTCCTAGGGCAATATTAACAGAGAAATACTTACCAGTCCTCCAATCTCCCATTGGGTTAGACTGGTAATGGCTGCCATTGCACCCCTCCACTGGACCACTGCACCAGCAGAGGGGAGTGCCAAAATCTGGGATCAGAGGACGGGTAAGTATTTCTCAAGGCGACTTATGGTTTGCGTGCCTACAGAGAGGGCTCTGCATGCCAGCTGTGGCAGACGTGCCATGGGTTTGCCATCACTGCCCTAGAGGTACACAATTACACCTTGCTGTTGGCTTAGAACAGTTGCAACAAAGCAGTGTATCTAGGAAACTTTTTAAATTGCAGAAGATGAGAGCCACTACTGTAAGTCCAAAAGCAGAGCAACCAATTATTTTCCAATTGTCCCTTGTCCCAAATAATAGCCCCTGAAGCACCATTGATGAGGCAGTAAGAGCTGTAAACAGCAGACTACCTAGCAGTTTCCATGCTCAAATATGCTCCAGATCAATTACCCTGGACTCTGTTCAGGTTACAGGGAGGTTCTTGCCACAACAAGCCAAGAGCATTACAGCTACCTCGCTGGATTGAATGGAAAGCCTATTCAGCCCAAAACCCTGATCAGAAGTGCAGGTGTAGTGCATTAGTGTGTGCATCAGCAACAGGAAAAGGAGTTTTCCATACTGGTCCAGTTCAAAGGAAACAGACATGCAGAATGCTCTTGCATTATCAGGAAAAAGTAGCTCCCACTGTGATCCTCTTGCCACTGGATGTGAATAAACAAACCAGGATGCCTCTGTCCATGGTTCAATGATACACCGGAATCAATGTCCAAACCAGAGCTTCCACATTCAGATATAACACTAAACAAACTCCAGATGGAAGCATCCTGGTTGGCTTAGCTCTTCTTATTAGCAGAAAGAGCCAAAAGGGAGTGACTGAACCATGTGTGCTAGAACACTGGCTCTTTCCTGCTAAGCCAGGGTTCTCGAGAATTGTGACATACTGTTCTGTATAAACCAGCCCATTGTTTTTATTATGAGTAGCCCCTTCCATGCTGCGTGCCAAGCTGTATTAATTCCAAAAACACAGTGTGCCGTAGCAGGCAGGCATGTGCAGATGTGTGTTCACGCCTGGATGTTCAGTCAATAATTCCACCAGACCAGCACAAACCCCCTTGCATGAGTTTTTGAGCAGCTGTTCACATCCCAGTCTTTGTCTAAATGGTTGCCAGGCAGATGCCTTGCATGAGGGGCATGACAGATACCGCTATGCTCTGTTGCTCGGTTCCTAACATCTGGTTATCCAAGCTATCCCCTACTCCCTGTCTGAGAAATGTGTTTAATCATTAACACTTGGACCTTGATAGACCCATCCTCCATGCATTCATTGCAAGTCGAGCTGAATCCATCATCATTACTAAGCATTTCTATAGCCCCTTTTTAAAAAAAAAAAACCAAAAAGCTCAGCCAGACTGCGAAGACTTTGGCTGCTGCTTGCTTCTCAGCTACATTTGCCACTGAATGTTTCCAGCTTTGGATAACGCTTGCTTTTCGGTCCTATGCTAGAAGATGCTAAAGCTTGGTTATCGTTTTGCGTGCCATTCAGGCCTCCCACAGCAAGAGAACTGTTTGCTCACTTCCTCCTCCCACAGCCAGAGGAAGAGATGTCCTTTTCTCTACCCCAGACAGAAGAGCTTTTCTGCAGTCTCCCAAGAAGCCACCGGCGGATTTTGCCACAGCTGCATCACGCACAACAGAGCCCTTTACACAATCCAACAAAGCCGATGAGAGATGCTGTGCCAAGGGAAGGGTGGGACGGTGCCAGTCACAATGGTGCAAAGTTAAAACATGCAAAGCTGCAGCTGAGACAGAAAAAGGGAGCCCTGGCCATTTGGAAGCTCCTCCTTTCCCCCCCTCCTCCCCCAAATCAGGAACTTTGATTCCACTCATGATAACGTTTCAAACATCTCTACTGGTGCTGCTCTGTAGCATCCAAGCCCACATGCAGAAAGTCCATCTAACATAAGGAAAACCACAAGGAATGATATGGGGTGGGGAGGTGAGTGATGGAGAGGGAGAAGGGAAATAGCAAGTAAAACATATAAAGGCAACCAGGAACATAGCAAGGGAATAGTCTTGAGACAGCTGCCTCGGGAACCCTGCCAAAAAAAGGGGGTGGTGGTAGTGGTGGTGGGAACTCCCTTGTCTTCAGTCACGAAAATAAGAGATGGGACTTCCCTTCTCCTTGCATACCTCCCAGGGGAGAGGCCTTCACATGGATCCCTGGCTCACTTAGTGTTTTGTTCTTTCCTGGCCTCACCCTGAGTCTCAGAATTACCTCTCAAAGATAATCAGGAAATAAAGCAACCGACACAAAGGCACAGAGTGGTAGATATCACAGCAGTGCTTAAATTATGGGGTGTGGAGGTGCCTTAATGAAACTGGCAGGCTCCACCCTATTTCAGCCAAACCAGACCTGTTTTGGGAGCTTTCTAAGGAACAGTAACTAAGAGGAGCAGCACAAATAGTAAGGGCACCAAACTGTATTCAAGGTGGAATGCAGGCAGTGATGTCTTTTATATAAAGAATATATGGCATAGACTATGAGGCAGGGCTAAGCACATACTGTTTTGAATGTTAAGGCCCAGTTCTGGAATAAATTCCCTAAAAATTCACTTTGAAGTCTTCCCCTTGCTACCAAACAATCACAACCAGTATATAAAACAACATCTTTAATTTCCAGCAGGGCTTACAAGAGTTCTTGCCCCAGAATCAGGTTGTTTCATGTATTAAAATGAAACCATAAGAAAAGAGAGCATTGCACAGCATATGCAGAATGATTTTCCCTTCACGCTTTTGAGATTAGTGAGAAGAAGGGAAGGCTCTAGCGCACAGGCTACTGTTCCTGTCTAGGAGCACAGAGAATGCTGGAAAATGTAGCGCAAAGGCTGTTATCAGTTTCTGGAGCTCAGACTCGAATTCAAATCAATCAATCAGTCAATTGAACAAGTGTTTCACTAATGCTCTGTTATAAGGAAGCATCCCTAAATACTTGCAAAGTCCATGGCATCCTAACTTGGTATCCTCAATTGCAAAAAGATTTTAGGGTGAAATGCATGACTTCAAAGCAGGCTGAAGTAAAGGCAAGGAAAAAAGAGACAAGGAAAACAGTAACTGCTGCTGGTGGGGGGGGGCTGAGGAGCAAAAATCAAAATGCGTATATTCACTCATCTGTTTCCAATACAGTATTCTGAGGATGCAGCGAACTGAAACAAATCACAAAACTTCTTAACATGGAAAAACAGAATTCACCCCAAAGTAGGCACAGCTTCCTTCTCCACTCCCACAGTTCAGAGGCACGGAGTGAAAACAGACCAAACACGCAACAGGACTAACAGCCCAGATCCTCCCCAGTGCAAGCCCTCCCTTGCCTTCCACTTACCCGATGTGTCCCACATATTAAGCTCAATGCGTTGCTTGTCAATCTCGAAACTGGCTGTGTAGTTCTCAAACACAGTGGGGACATAGTTCTGCAAGGGAACAGGAGGGGGGAAGGCAAAAGAGCGCATAGTGCCAGAGTCAGATGTGCAAGCACTAGTTAGGAAAGAAGAAAATAACTCTTCCCCCCCACCCACCCATCATTAGCCCACAGAGATGCCCTTTGCTTCCTGCCAAACACACAATGAGAACAGCACCCAGAAACTCTCAGCGTATTAAAGCCTGCATTTCTGGTTCTCGCGGCTCCTCCTAATGCAAGGTCTGTTGCCCCTGTCTTCTACTTGATGACAAATGAGGTGTACTCTGTATGTACTGTACTTGCAGGAACTTCTGTCCAGAGGCTGAGCCTAGGCAGTACATATTACACTCCTGTGGTGGATTTTCAATTGTTAGCACAAGCTGTACCATCAAAGCAGGCAAGCAGGCTGTGCACCCTGCGTCCCATTTCCTGCTTCTCATGTTCTACTTCACATCCCTGACCTGCAGATCCAAGGTCTACCTGGAAACCTAGATTCTCCTCGCTTCCTCCTGTTGGAATCCGGCCCCATAACCTGAACCTCCTCCTTCACCCCTCCTTCCAATTCATTCCCACCCTATCCTATTTTGTCACCTCAACCAGAAAGTATGTTTGCACCTCCCCAATGCACAGAGGGAGACTCTGGGTTTCATCTTCTAAGGCCCTTATTTCTGCCTCCCCCATTCCACGAACACCCTGCCTCTTAATGTCCCACCCCCAACTCCCCCCCCCCTTTTTTAAAAACTCTGGCTCACAAATCCTGCTTGTTACCCTCAACCCAAGTCTGGATCTCCAAAGAAATAGAGGAAATGGGATCACTTTTGGATTCCCTTACTCCCCAGGCTCTGACTGCACCCCTAAAGAAGGCTACCTCCTGGACACCAGCTCCAGACTTGCCTACTCCTCAACTCCCACCTGGGCTCAGCCTCACGCCTCTGGGCGGCAAGTCCGTCTTCCACAGCTGCTGCCCCCCCATCTGCTCCCCATGGGGTGCCTGCGAACCTAGCCTGCTACTCTCCTCCTCCAGCGCCACTCGCTGCTGCTGGCCCTGCACCTCCTTCCCCGGGCTCCAGGATGACCTTCCCAGCCCCAAGCCTTGGAGATCCCACCCAGCCCACCTCTCGCCTGTGCCCCGGCATCTCTCGCCCTCCGTCCCTCCTTCGAGAAACTCCCCGAACTGCCTCCCCCAGCCCTCGGTCCGGCGCCCTGCCCCGACGTCCTCCCTCCCGGCTGCTGCCCGAGCCTCCCCTTACCTCGGGGTAGGCGTCCTTGGCGAAGACGTGCAGCAGCGCCGTCTTGCCGCACTGGCTGTCGCCCACCACCACGATCTTGCAGCGCGCCAGCTGGTTCTCCATGACGCCCGCGCGATCGCCTGCCCGAAGGATGGATGGAGTGAGCGACCGGCCGAGGACGTGCAACTCACGAGCCCCGCCGCGACTGCATCGCCGCGCTCTGCCGGCCCGCCTGCCCGCCCGCTCGCCTGGCTTCTCCCTTGCAGCGAGCGGCTCCTGCCGCCGCTTTCCGGCTCCTTATGC